TTTTTTTTTTTTTTTTTTTTTTTTTTTTTTTTTTTTTTTTTTTTAGTTAAACAATTATGACATAATTTTTAAAATTATTTTGTTTAAATTTAAATTTTTAAAAATCTCTATTTTAATTATTTTTATAATTTATTTATCTATCTCAACCTGATGGGTTAAAACTTATAATAATAATAATAATAATAATAATAATTATTATTATTATTATTATATTTTAAATTCAAATTTCAAGACAATGGAAATTAATGAATGTAGCACTTGGAAAAAACTATATATATATATTTTAAATTTTTTTTATTTATTGCCTCAATTTCGGAATGGATAAATACAATTAATTTGAACCAAATTTTAACGTACTCGTTTGCACACCATTCAGTATTTGATTTTATATCATTTGTAATAGTTAAAATTCACCGCTAGCTAATATTATTTTCTTTGGACTTTTTCGAGCTTCCTTCAAAGTTTTAAAACGTATTCATTATGGAGAGAATTTCATACCCTTAGAAGGAATATTTCATTATCTTCTCCGACCAACGTGGGGATCTCATATTTACTCTCACCCATAAGTAAGTCAACCAACTAGAATTCGGGTCGCTGTAGCCACGACATGTGCTCAAGCCCCAAACCCATTCCTTATAAGTAACACTCGCGGGTTTGATAGCATATAGCTCGAGAAAGGGAATGTGAAAACTATTCTTAAGGTTGTTACTCTTTTTCTGATCTATTTTTTTAAAATAATTTTTATAATAATAAAAAAAAAAAAGTGGAAGAACAACGTTTTCATGACTCATCTACCCATTTCATAAAATTTTAAATTATTAATAAACAAATAAAGTGAAAATGGGGCAAAAAGATAATTATATAATAATTAAGAGGCAAAAACGTGAGGGGAACCAAATGTTGGGGTAATGTTTGCCTCATTTACAAGCTAAAGAAAAAAATAAAAAATAAAAAATAAAAAATAAAAGAGGTAGATCCTTAAATAAAGGGTTTTCTTAATATTTTATTAAAATAACAATGTGGTCCTCAAGAATTTAGAATGTTTGAAAACAGGACAATAACTTCTTTTAATGACCAACATAACCCAACAACAAGATTCTTTTATTTACAAAGTAACCCTTTTTGGGGCAACTTTTCAGATATGTAACCTAAAGTTGATGCTTCATCTTACACAAAAATTGTTGATGCCAAAAGTGTTGGAGGGATAAAGGATTGACTCGGTTACTCGTCCGAGATTCTAAACTCCGCTTCACTTTAATACTGGCTCTGCTTTTAGTTTGGTTTTGGAGCGGGTTTGACCATGAATATTGTTGACTAAAAGAAAATGTATTATAAACAAACTTCAAAAATAAAATTCGGTAAGTAACAAAATATTCAACCGAGATATAACTCGATCGATTAAGTCAATCATTCTCGGTTTGAATCCCGACCCCCACATGTTAGACTTACAAAAACAACAACCTAATATCTACATAGACTCGTTTAGAGAGTCGAGAGAGAAAAATTAGAATTTAAAGCTCGGTTCGTGTAAGACTCCGAGACACGTAGGCTGATACCGACGGGCCTGCACAGTAAAAAAAACAAAACATAACCCCACATTACAATGCCGAAGGGAAACAAAGAAGAGTAAAAGGCAACATCTGTGCAGCTTACTAGCCAAAAGATTCTAAGAGTGAACAGGGAATGTAACAGTTACAAGGATAATACAAACTCGTAGCACAATACATGGCTGCTGTGTCCGATCACGACTGCGTTGCCATCATAGAAACAGAATATGGTTCGTGACCGTGAACTCTCACGCGGTAGATGCAAGTGTGCGACGGGCTTCCATGGTTGGATGAGAAATCTAATCGGATCATGTCAACGAGTCCGGAGCCTGTTGTCTCCACCACGTTGAATGTCTGTGCATTGCTCTTTTCAAGATCGTACGTGAACTCGGCCAAGAGAAACATCTTCTCAGCATTTGCAGCTGAGGCAGCAACGTCGTCCCCTTGAAACCACCCAGATACCCTGCACGCCTTAGGTGCGCTTGATCTATCGTATGCTACGCTCTGTCCCGAGAAGCCAGATTGTGAAGCCTAGTTAGTAAAAAACAGAGGAAGCTGGCAGATGGTATAATCTAATAATACATATAAACAAAATCATAGATCCATCTATAACACAAAATCCGAATTTCATCTGGCAAAGAGGAAGCTGGTAGCATCGTTCAATACTATCGAAAGCGTATGTATCCTTTTTGAGAAACTGTTTGTGTGAGATCCCATATCGATTGGAGAGGGAAACGCTCCCAAGAGGGATTGTGAGATCCTACATCGGTTGGAGAGGGGAACGAAACATTTCTTATAAGGGGTAGAAACCTCTTCCTAACAGACGCATTTTAAAATCGTGAAACTAACGGTGATACATAACAGACAAAAGCAGACAGTATCTGTTAGCAGTGGGTTTGGGCTACGGGCGTTTTACTTTTCATAGACATGCCATTGGAGAAAATTTTAAGCTCTATATTAGATTAGTAGAAAGAAGATGCCCTATCTTCAATCTTCATCATACCCTTTTCAAATACAGGTTTCTCAAAGGATGTCTCGTATACACTCCATAGAAAAGAAGGTACTTTTGTACATCATTCTAAAATAACATATGCATTATCCATAACCACAACCCTCCCAACTCAAAATATCGAACCGACCATAGAACCCAGTTCAATAAGTGGAATGCATTAGCTGTCTACTATCTGGTTGGGAGTAAGTGTAACGACCCAGGCCCACCGCTAGCAGATATTATACTCTCTGGGCTTTCCCTTACGGGCTTCCCCTGCTTTAAAACGCGTCTGCTAGGGGAAGGTTTTCACACCCTTATAAATGGTGGTTTGTACTCCTACCCAACCAATGTGGGACATCACAGTAAGGGTCGAGAAGGGCAATCACTCATTCTTAAAACCAACATTCTTAAGACCAAAGAGGCGGGCGGAAAAGGTGGGAAAGCTCTCCGTTCCTGGTTCTCTTGTAGCTTGATTCTCCGGAACCACAAGAATCCTTAGTTAGAATGGAATTCCAACTCAATACTTTCGAGATTTTGAATCACCTACCACCCAGGTCTTCCTTTCCGGTGTATATCCCACAAAGATTAGTATAAAAACGTGCAATCTGACTTGTCCGAATCACAATTAGGAAACGCTTTCGGAGGGCATGGTGTCCCTCTCTAGTGGGTAAGCACCACTTAAAACTAAGATCACAGCACCACTTAAAACTTATGGAGGGCATGGTGTCCCACTTAACTATGCTGTAGTTACAGTAAAGAAAAAGGTTTTAAAATGTGTTCATTAGGGAGAGGTTTCCGCATCCTTATAAGGAATGCTTTGTTCCCCTCTCCAACCAATGTGGGAACTCACAATCCACCTCTTTTGGTGGCCCAGCACCTTGCCGACACACTACTCAATATCTGGTTCTGATACTATTTGTAACAACTCAAGCTCACTCAGATTTTGTAGTGTAACTCTAAAAGACGCGTTTTAAAAACCTTGAGGGAAAGCCCAAAGAGGATAATATCTACTAGCAGTAGGCTTCGGCGGTTACAATAACTAAGCAAATAAGGTGCAAGCATTGCATTTTCAACTATGCCTAGGGTTCTCTTCACAACTCATGGAATACAGTGCGATCTTTTTTCTATTAAATCAAAGCCATGGTAGTATCCACTAACAAATGCTCATTCATTTTCAGGCAATCCTAAGATAAAAGTATTTACCATGTAGAAACACATATTTGGATAAGAACATCACCTTGGCAACATGCTCTAGAGTAACAGCTTCTGGAACGATCGCCGTCCGCAGCCTAATTTGAACGAACCCGCTACTTCCTTTCAAGGGGAAGCACTGCCCGGGCTCCCCGAAACTCGGTTTCAGCATCTTATTCGCATTACTATGAACTCCGTTCCTTGCATTTCTCGAAAACCAATTACTTGTTCTTCCTGTAAACGGCTCGGAATGCTTTACAACCATAGCCCCACCAGAAGCAAGAGCATAATCCACCCTACCAAGTCCATCAGCCGCATGCTTCTCAATCTCCATCTCAACCACCTCCCTTGCATAGGCTCTTATATCATCCAAATTTGCAAACCGCTCATCAATTTCACCGCTCTTCGCCTTCTTCAATTCCTCGTAAATCCTATCGAATTCTTGCTTCGACAACCAATCCACGGCCGTTAACTCGCTCAAAGACCTTTCCAGGTCCTCCCCTTTATCCTGCAGCACCTTCAAACCGCTCTCAAGATCAGCAGTTTTTGCCTCAATCTTATGGTCAACTTCCCTTCTCAATCCCCCAACTTCGTTCTCGATCTTCCGATCGACGACCTCCACCTGCACCTGAATCATCTTGGTGGTAGTTTTCAAGAATGCTTCAACTTCTGCAATCCGTCCCTCAACTTCTGAAAACCCCAATTGATTTCCCACCGCTCCATTCCCTGATTTTAGGGCTAATTTCCTAATCATTTGAACCAACCCTAGAAGAACCATCAAAAGCACAATATTCTTCGTAACCACGCTAAGAATAGTCGCCCATCGAGGCTTCTCCGGCTTCGTAATCGCCTTTCTACTCCGCCGCGGCGAAATGGTGGAATTCGCAACAGTTTTCTTGATCTGAAGTGGATCCCTAGAGGACCGCTCGAGAACAACCTCACCTCTAATCG